GTACAATACATTACATTACATTACATTACATACGTAACGGTCTTTAATACATAGCAGAAAGCACACAAAGACCCAATCATATGAACATTCAACCGGATGAGAATGCTCTGAGGGTACCCCTTGTAGGCTGGCTTACAGGGAACCAACCGGCACACCGAAATCCATGTTGGGGGTCAACATGGGAGTTTCTGAACATGGTGGACCACTTTTGCCTGATCTTTAAAGGGAAGCCAACAGAAAGGGGGGTTCCTATCTTGAAAACCCCCCCCATATTCATATCCGTATCTTTTTCGAGGGTACCCTTTGCGGGTTGGCTTAAACGAAACAAAAAGGACACTGTTGCCATTTTGGGATTCCCTGAGTGTGAGACAAACTCGTATGGATAATCTTACAATAGGAATTGGACCCCAAATGCTTGGGTTTCCTTTCAAGCTCACCCTCAACCCCCTGTGTGCCTTTTTCTGAACGCGGAAGCGTCACTTGGCGGCGAAGCGGAGGGCGAAGGGCGTGCCGGCGCAAAGAAAGAGCACCGAGGCTCTCGGAACTTTGAGCCTCGGAGCGACGGAAGGCTGCAGGGCCTTGACTCCAACTTTTTGGCCCCCGCGGGTTGTAGCAACAACCAGTTGGTTGGCGTTTGGCATAGACCTGTCTGTTTTGGGAGGGAGGTTTTCCCTTAATTACTTGGTGGCTTGGATTGGGGATTTGAACCCCGGGTGGATGGCTTATTATCGCTCACCCAAGATGGGGAACCCTGAAATAATACTGTGACAAAATCCTGCACCAGTTGGGATGGATGAGAAGAGACACTACTGGGATAGAACCTGATGCAGGATTTTGTCTAGCACTAGGCAAGGGAAGCCCCTATAGAGGAACCCCCAAACAAGTTGAAAGCGACATCCAAAAGAGGACTATAAGGGCCGTTCAATATTTCTGTGGGGAAATGTGGGAAAACGATCACGCACTATGTTAGGCTACTTGGCGGCTCAGATTGGTCGGCTTGGAGGTTATCTCAGGGCTTCCCGGTTACCCTCGCAAATTGCTATTGACCAACAATAGAAATAAGAACCCCGATTCAAGAGCGCGTTGACATTGCCCAAACGGACAAACATTTTGAACTGACAAGTCTTTTAGTTTTGAACCCAAACAATAGCTGTCACCAAACAAAGCTTTGACTCAGGCTTACGACCAAGAAGGAGATTCTGCTCACATGCAAATCTTCAGAGTGCACACACACACACACAAGTTTCGGAGAATAAAAAAACACCCCCACCAAAAACAGACTCATGAAAAATTGCCAAATAAGGTCTTGATGGTTGGGAAGGGTCTGGGTGCCCAGCAACTAGCCCTGGGCTGGCAACGGCCCAGCCCTATCCACCGCAACGGTTGACAGCTCAAAGTGCAAATTGAGGCAACCTCGAAGAACTCCTTCATTTCTGCTTCTTCGATCATACAACTGCAGAAATTCGCTGCTTGTAAACAAACAATTGCCTCCTCTATGTGCTTAAGTCCCTTGGACAATTGAATAATATTTCCAGTAGTGATAGATTCCCTTTAAATCCCACAAGGCAAATAAAACACATCTTTAGCACATGTTCGCTTTGTTGTGTCTCCTTCAGCCGCGTTTTGGGGGTACCCCAAATTGATCTGTACCATGCGAAACCGAGGGGGACGAGGAGCCCTGTTTGGGCTGTCCTTATTTCGAGACACACAAGGAAAGACACCAACAAGAACAGAAACCAAGAAGCACGCAGAAAAAACAAACAAATAAACTTCTAGATAGATAAAGACAACACTAAACCACGAAATGAAGACACCAATGAACCAACCAACAAGCAAACCAGCGAATTACAAAGAAATAAAGACACATACACCAACACATACAAATAAACCAACAAAATACAATGAAACCAATCAATTTCAACAACAACGCCAAGCAACACAATATGGCAAACCAAACAAGCCATGCTCCGCCGACTCCAGTTAAAGCAAGCGGCTCCCTGAGCACTGCGGCGACATCGTCGGCCGCGCCCTCAAGCTGAGCAACAGCGGAATCACCTGCAAGGCTTGTGTCTAAGATGCTTAAGACACCCAGGTATACAACCACCAACAAAAACATTCTAATGGGGAAGTGGGAAGCGTGATAGAGCGTGGGGAATGGTTTGGACCCGTTCACCGCCAAACACCTGCCTGTTTTAGTGGTGGTTGACCCAACATTTCATCATCCACTGTTCGTGCGTGGGGGGGGGGGGGGGGGCGGGGTCCAAACTATGGCATACAAGTGTGAGCATAGATGGAACAATCAATTATCCCACCAGCTGCCCTGAACCTCAAAGCAATTCCTAAAGAAGGGAATAAATCTTGCATTGGGTACGAATACATGTTTTGCAGTTGATGGCCGTTTGACTAGTTTCCCTTTTACAGTACCACAAGGAAACACTCTGTTGGCCACATTATTTTAACGCATACCCAGTTGGACCCGGGTGAAACAAACCCTGTCAAAGAGGCCGCCGCTTGTTACCTGGGCCAGGTATAGCCCCCCCCAAAAGGGCACAAGAGCAAACACAATGACCCCCTATGTCTCCCCTTCAAGCATCACCCCACCAAAAGGAAACTCACTTTAAAACCACAAACAAAGAACGTATAGGGAACCCTGAGACAGGTGAGTTAAGTACTGGGCTTGCGTTGAACACTAACCTGCAAAGGGGCCCTCACAAAATAATAGGGCCAAATTCGTGCAATGGGTCTGGGGTAAACAACATTTAGTCATGACCATGGGAACACAATGTTCTTCATTCAGCCTCTTTTATGACCGTCCACTTCCAGCCCTGCGTCGAAATGGCCTTCCGCCGAAGCTGGGCTGGTGCCCTTGCCCGGCCGGTTCACTGAGATCAAGCGAAGGCCCCTGGGCGAAGGCTTCGAGATCGAATCGGGCAAGAAATGGCCTTGACGTGGAGCTCCCAAACCCCCGAGTTGTAGCGGAAGCTTTGAGAGTCCAAAAGGTTTGGGTTCGATTTTTATTTGCCGAGGATCAATCCGGTACACGAAGGGCCCCCAAAGGCACTTCCCGAATTGGGCGGATGGCCTTGTCTCACGCGGGTTTGTGCACTAGGATGCAATACATGTGCGTCTCTTTTTGAGAGTACCCTGTTACTCCTTTTTTGTGGTTTTAAAGGGACACCTAAAACTGAAAACAACCATTTTGCAGGGTCCCCTTGAAAAAATACACCCATGCAGGTTGAGTGTTCCAATTGATGGGAGACGAAACGCCACCAACGAAGTGTAGGTCTCTGCACTAGTGGAGGTTTATGGAAGGGAGTGTCTGAAAATGATGTCTGCGCAGTTTTTTGGGCCCTCAAAAGGTGAGGCACACTAAGCCTCGACTCCACTGTGAGTCCCACTGATTTCACGGCGCCTGATTCTCGGCTGCTGAAGTCAACCTTCGCATTGAAAGCCCAATCCGCACAAGACTGGAGTTGGACCCTGCGATAAATTCCCACATTCCATCATTTGCTTCGTATGTTGTCAGCAATGCTCAAGTATGAGTCATTCAAGTGGCCAACTCACTCTTCATGCACATCGCAACGCCCTTTCAAGATGCCAGTTTCTCTCTGACTCATTGTGGAAATTGTGCACCTCTCGAGCTGATCTCCCTTCGAACGCATACAAAAAGTGGGCATTACCCCCTTCCCCAAAAACCCAACAGCCCGATTCATTACTCCGGAGAAAGATCAGACTTTTTGGCTTGGCGCCACAACCAAACGGTGCTTTCCCGTGTACCACTGACGGCCACTGACCTCGGCTCGGCTTGTGGGAATTTCAGCACGCGAGGCGCTTCAGGCGCGCAATGGGCTCCACCAGCGCCAGGGCCTTCCGGGAACTGCCCATGGGGTAGAAGAGCACCACCGGCGTCCCGTCCTCCTATGCAACCGGAACGAGAAAGAAGCTATTGGCAAAACGGAGGGGGTCAGATTAGTGTTTGTGGGGGGGAGGGGGATGTTTTTTTCTGGGGGGGTTGTTTCGGAGATTTCGCGAGTTTCCCCGAGTTTTTGATTTTTTTCTCCCAGTCAGATTAAACCCTCCGTTCGCGCACCGATCGCCTGGCCGGCCGTGGCATAGCATAGCTCCCGCTGCCCACTTTTGACGCTGCCCAGCTGCAGAGGCGACATAGAAGCGGAAAGCTCACTTTTGTGAGTGGATTGGAGAGGCAAGTCTACCACTAAAATGCCCTCCCCTCCAAAATATTCAGCCCGGAAACTTGGACAGTGAGCTGTACTTCCGTCCGCTGGTTTGCTGATAGTTTGCTAGATGGTTGATGGCTGATGGTTCGGCTTTTCCTGTTTCATGATGCAGGTCTCAAAGTTTTGGACCCTGCACTGCCGTCCATAAGGGCGTCCATGTCCTCTTTGAGCCAGACACATTTCCTTGGCATTCCGAAACGCTCAAACTATGCATGCGCAGCGTGCGAACCACCTAATGAGAGCCTCTCTCGCAACGGGGCAAGGACTCACCCGGGTCATCTTTTCATGGGATTTGTTTCGGACAATTTTCACAGAATAATGATGACTCCCAGATGCATATTCATAGGAAACGGTAGCACAGAACAATGGTTCGCAAAGGTTGGGTGCCAAACGGTTGACCTGATTCGCTTCAAGCAACTAGGCGGCATAAGGAGTCAATGGATCTGGAACAAACATGTACACGACGGGTTGTCCCCATAAGCCGGATGGGATAGAAGGCAATGATGCTTCCGGTGCCGCAAATGTGGGGTTCAACTGAGGCACCATACTGTTGATGGACGACATCCTGCTGGTCCTCCCAACATTTACAGGCATTCATCCCATCCTAGATGCAACATGTTTTCCATCAATAGAAGAAATGTGACTTTTGGAGGGCGCCCCCAGTTTAAAACATATGAGGGTTTCGCCCATCTGCTTTGTCTTGGGGAGATCCCTTTAGTCTTTCACTTGACCGAGCAAAAACAAATCACTTGCCGGGCTGACGTTGGACCCACTGACCAGAAGGTGGCCCAAAGGATGCCTCAGACGGATCCGGAGTTGGGTGTGGCCTGTTGGGGACGCAAATGGATTTTGGTTTTCCTTTTGGCTTCCCGTAAAACAATCAAGACGGGGAATTAAGGCTTAGGGGATTACCTCTGATTGGTGGCCTCCGATTTTTTCCAAAGTAGTGCCCAAGGCCGGGAAGACTAAGTACCAGGTGGCAGGGGTGCCCGTTCCCACATATTAAATGCAACTCATCTCTTTTTGAATTGGCAAATATCTTGATCCTGTGAAAATTGCAAGCGTGGCAAAGATATTGCGCGCGCAACATGTCTGCCACCAGCAATCCCATTTCCTCAGCTCATTCCCTGTCTCATCCGCGTCCACCCCTTACAGGTATTTCCGCTTCGTCGTCAAGTCACGGCTGAAGCAGCTCAGGGGTTTTCCCTCATGCCAAGTTGCTTTTTTTTTTCTCGAATTGTTTAGATTCTGAAAAACAACACATGCAAGAATTAGCAGAGCTGAGAATGGGACACCTCAGCATATAACCTTCCGAGAATGGAAGTGACGATCGACCAAAAGCCTCTTGACAGCTTCCACGATTGGAGAAGTTCATTTGCTTGGTGCCTCGTTGTGCAAGATAGGGGAGGTTGGGGGTCTGTCGCACTGTCCGTTGTTTATATTTCAGCAAGAGAACATGTGTGAGCCTCGCACGAGTGATCTATATACGTAGCTTAGGGGTATTATTCCTTCATGCCCTTGCAAAGCAACCAACCCTGGCTTCATGTGCTGCTAGACCACCATGATCTGACCGACCCACTCATTGGAGTCAAGAGAGGATTTCTTTGAACTTGATAGAGGTTGTTCAATGGGACCAAACAAGTGGCAGGCCTTTTCAGCCTTTCCCAAAACACGTTTCCCTTGACAATCGCCGAACAGAAACTCACTTGAACTCAACCCAACACCCGCAGCAATCTTGTTGGACCCAGCGCAATCGCCTGGTTTAGTGTTCTACGATTTCAAGCACTGGACTAGGAGCCCATCCCCCAAAACTGGGATTTCGTTCTTCTTGTTGGTTTCCGCTACCTCGAAAATTGGCAACCCCTTCTGTTGTACTTAGACCCCGAAAGCTGAACTTTGAGGCCAGGGCCAGGCCAGTGACCACACCGGGCCTGGCCGTGCCAAAGCCCTGCGAAATAGGTCTGCCTTTAAAGGGCACCTTAGGCCGGTTCCCGAAAGTTGCTTTGGAGCCAGTTCCAAGGGGGCAGGTCCCAGGAAGTTGATTGTATTGAGGGGGACAAGGAATCACACGTCGAAGCACCTCCAACAAAGTCATGAGCGGGGATATCCTCACAAAAGCAGACCCTGCAGGACCCAGTGAAATACACGAACTGCAAAGTGGGGGTTGCGCATGGTGTGTCAATGTGTGTCATCAAGGATAGCCCACTGGAATGATTGAAGGCACGGAGGGTTCCGTCCGAGATGACGAGATTGGTCCATTGGAGGACGGCTCCTTTATGCAAATAAGTCTTTCCCCTTGGCAAAACACATTGGAGATCAGGGCAAATCTTCAAGACTCTTGCAAAACCGCCATTGGGAAACAGCGAGAATAACAGTAAGCCGTACTAGGGAACCTTCACTTCACTTCCGTTCACCCCAACAAGTTTCGGGGTTCTGTACTTTGACAAATCCCCATATGAGCCAAGGTCAAAATGACTTGTTTCCCCAAAGGAAGTGGGATAATTAGCGAGTCCCTGTTGTTGTGGGAGATTTAGTAAGTCCCCTATACCCTTGCTCCCAAATGGACCACAGACTGGACATTTCAAACGTTTTATGGGTATGAATTTTGATTGGGGACCCTTTGGTGGTCATCATTAGTTGGGGCAACACGCCCACAAACCACTTTTTTCAGGTGTGTCTTTTGTTGGAGAGAACCCCTTTCTTGTTGGATTTAATGAAAGGGAAACCAACAGGGGCAACGGTTCCCTGTTCGACATTCCTAACGCGGTCAATTCATGCCCCTGAAGCAAGCAGACTTTTCCAGCGGTCAAATACCACTGGCACACATGCTTGAGCTGTTGTGGGCCGCGCAAGGACACCTTCCGAGGCCGACCGATTTTGCTCTGCAAAGGGCGCACCTTCGTGCGCCATGGGCAGACTCTCAATGGGCAGCGCGGATCCCATGGTGCCCCAGAAGTGCAACGCCCCGTCGTAGCCCCCGGACCTCGGGTTGGTTTGGGCTGGGTTAAAAGGAAATTAAACATGTAAATGGAATTGCACACTTGCTTGTTCTTATAAGGAAGATGGGAATGAACTTACCTTTCGCTACAACCCACTGGTGCTCGGAAAAAGGGCCGTGCCCAAATTCCCTACTAATAACAAGCAAGTAGAGTAAATATGTCAAGGTGGACTTAAACCCATAGTTTTTCTTGGCTATCTACTACATCGCCTCGGGAAGCGTGCAAAGCCCTCAGAGGCACGGTTGGCGGCGTTTGCGCAAGCTGGAGGGGGGGGGGGGGGCAGTGGGTATGAAGCCCAATTTATTGGAGCCCTGTTGTGGATAACAGAAACCTGGAGATCTATGCAACCAAGAAGTTGCGAGGGGTAGACTTGTGCAGTTTCTAGCAATGCTTGAGGGTGGTCCCTATCAAAATTATTCCTTCTACGTACAATAGCCATTAGGCTGTGGCTTCTTTTTGGAGTTGATACCACTTGCTCGGGGGCTGGGAAATCGGGCCCCATTCCAAGCTTCACATTCATTGCCAATGTGCTTATTCTAGGAGTTGGTACGACCGGCTTGGCCTTTCACCTCTATCACCTCTTATCTCTTTGGGCTTTCAGCAATTATTCTTCCAATGACCCGCAAGCAAGTTGCTTGGCAGAATGTTTGGGTGGAATAGCATTTGCAATACACGAGAATGCCCTATAACCGGGTTTGTGGGCTCGCTTCAAAGGGAAACTGCCCACCTTGGTCGATCCGTACGGATTTGTCTCCAAATCGGCGTCGCTTTGGACCAGGCCCTTTGGCAACGTGGACTACGGTGGCAGATTGCGCGTGCAGCTTTCACCACCGAGAAACTAGCCACGAATTCAGCGTGTATCGGGGCGCCCTCTAGCAATCAACTTCACCCCGAAAGTAGTGAGCTTTAAGAGAACAAGCAAGCTTCTGAAGGAGGCAATCGGCACAAGGCGATCGGACCAAGGCTGTGCAAGAATGGCTACCGTCCAAAGAACAGCACGCAAGTGGCACTTGGCGTTGTATAGCTTCAGGAAATAGTCCCTCCTGATCAACCAAGTTGATTCTGCAACCAAAGCAAAACCAGGGCCCCGGGCGCCAGCAAGCCATCGCTCTCTGGATGCCAGCAGAGGGAAGTGACCTACAAAGTGCTCCGTTTGACCTGTTGGGAAATCAAGGGACGTCCTCAAAAGTGTGCAACCCAACGTTGCGCGCTTCCTCTGCTTTCATGGATGTGTGTCAACACGTGGGACCTTTCAACAAGGTTGTTCCCTGTTTGGCATTCGTTTCAAAACTTGACTCAAAACGGATCGATACCATACGCTGTACACTCTATACTGCACGCTGTATGCTCGTGTATGTATCTGAGTGATTCTCCAGAGGGATATTGCAACTGAACCTGCAATGATGCATCACAATATCCGGAAAGTGCTCCTTCTGTTCTCAATCGCCAGGGGATCGCACTTTTATGAGCGAAAACTGTTTTTTATTGGCAAACCCTTGGCATGGGTGGTTCGCGGGGGGCCCTTAGACTCTTAATTACTCAACCCTCAAGGCGGGCCAACAAGAGAGCGAAACAGATCCGAACTTCCCAAAACAATCACCTATGACAACGTGTACAACCACTGAACTTCACATGTCTGCAGCGAAGGTTAGAAAGGGCTTATGTCAACTTGCTTGAACAAAGTCTTACACGGCTGGAGCCGTTGATGTACCAAGTTAGACATTTAGCATGTTTCCTCAACCAAGTCCCCGTCTGTTGGTTTGGAGCTAATTCTGCCTTGATTCATGGCCCATGCCTGATGATGCCCCTTTGCAAGTTGCGCGAGGTCAGCCAATTTCTGCCCTGAATTATCTTCAGTTTTCAAAATGGCAGTCTGGAATCCCCACAAGTGAGCTTATTCCACTCCCAAAAACCGGGGCGAAGAATGGCTCCTGCCTCCTTCTGATGTGCTTTGAAGACCTTCCGCACGCTCATTGTGCGAATGTCCTCAGCGCAGCTGTTGCCTCTCCACGGGAGTTCGAGTGCTGATACACAGAGCAGAAAAGGGAAGCGCCTGCTTGTGGTTGTCCAGTTTTAGCGGGGAACTCGCAAAGAAGACAGAAAACAAGGGTGCCACTGAACCGGTCCAGCTATGTTTCGGCGCTGGTTGTCCCATGGAGTTGATCAGATTGGAGTCACCTCGAAGAAGACTAGATCACTGACTTGCTAGTGGGAAACCAAACCGGGCTTGGAAAGCAGAACGCTCCACGCGCAATGCCACAAGCCCGGTCCTCTTTCTGTGGCTTGAACCACTACGTGTATGATCCATTGAACGATTTGCCTAACTTCCAAACGAGGGAATCCCAAACTGAGTGGCTGCCCGTTGAAACCCCAAAGAGGGTACTCTCCCACCCACTACCATGAAACCCACCTTTTTGCAGGAAAATAGTCTTTCAGGATTGGCAGGTTCCATGTTAGTGGCTGCGAGGGTGGCCTCAAAAAACAAATCTGCTTAATAGGCGGTCCTACGAAGTGGTATCCCTTTCGAGGAAATGGGATAGCTAGAACACAGTGACATGGTTTTGCTAGCTTCTGTAGACGAAATTAATGAATATATATGTGGGCTATTGAATAACAGTTACACATGTGGCTTTCGTCGTTGAAACACCTATCCTCCTCTTCGTTTTTGCTCGCACGAACAACGTTTTTGCGGGTTGGTCCATGTCCCTAATTTGACACATACCCACCAGTCTCAATGAGCCTACTTGTTGACCCCCTATTCTGCAAGGTCAGGTGTATTAATGGTGGGTCCGATTTCCTATTTTGCCTCCTATTGGTCCCCGAAAATGGTGGGTTTCCTTTTGGGTTCCCGTTAAAATAACCAAAAGGCGCTCCCACCCGAAGGGGAATTTGGTTGCGAGGGGCCAGCAGCATCACCAGCTGGTCCCGGCTGGCGGAGGCCAACCACGAACCACTGGGGCTCCAAGCCTTGGACAATCGCTCCATCGATCGAAGGTCGGAGGGAGGGTCGAGTTACCCTTTTGATGGTTTGCAAATGGAAACCAAAGGGGACGTCCCATATTGAATAAATATTGAGGCTCCCTTGAGAAATACCCAGAGCAGGCTATATAATTGTTCAGGCGCACTTGAGCGGGCGGATTTGAGCGGCTCCGGTTCGGGCCGAAAAAGTTTCCAACTTGGAGTAGCCAAGTTTCTGAAGCGACGTTTCTTTCTATCTCGGTCAATCATGGAACCCAAAAATGGGTCCCTCAAAGGAGATTCCTTCCTTTCAAAAAGTAGGGTTTTTGGGTTCCATGCTCAGATGCATCACTCCGCAAACCCTGCAAGTGTATATAAATCCCTCCTGGCAGGGAACCAAAGAGGAACGAAGCAGTTTTCTAGCCTCGAGGTTTGGTCATAGGCTCGCAGCAACCATGCCTGCCCCCTTTGGGTTGCGAAAAAAGGGACCTAACGTGAGGAAACTCTAGCTAAATACTCCAAAGGTTGTATATATATATATACATATATGTATACATATGTGTTGTTTCGACCAAATGCAGGGAACCCCAAACGCTTTGGCAATGAAAGAGATCCCTAAAAGTCCGGAAACCCTCACAATGAGGGTGAGATCCTGAAGGTGTTAAGAATAAAGAGGCTCTTAAAAAGAGCTGAACCGAAGCCCTCAATATGCACATTGCATTTTGGAAACTAAAGGTAGCCCCTTAAACGTGTAGCAGCCCTCTTGAGGGGGTCCCTTGTTCTTCCCTAAAACAGCTATTAGCAACACCTCATTGGGCACCAACTATCTATAGGCCAGGCAGTGTTTCGCCAAAAGGAAGTGGATCTGTGGTTTCGATTCGATGGCGACTTGGTTTGGTTGAAACCTGATGAGACATAAAGATTGGTTGATCATTGGCTTGGTTGATCATTCCCATCCTCCCCACCAAGGGACAACAGGACTCGCCTATTGTATAGTTTCAAGATGCTCCAAGCCAACAAATGATGCCCAGGGCACCGCCTCCACCAACGAACATGGAAGTGCACAGGCTCCCTGAGTAAAATCGGTACACCAAACTTCAGTCTCGTAATACAAAAGGCTCTGTTTGCTAACTAAATGCAAAGCGTGTTTTCTTCAAAAAGACTTGCTTCAATTTAGCTTTTGGTCGTTTTCGTGGGTCACTGTCTCTTGAGTAGTCTTGTTGCCTTTGTCTTTTTCTAAGGCCCCGGCCACTTGCGTCACGGTATTCTTGTGGCAGAAGATGGTGGTGATGGCTTCACTGGCCCTGGGATCCCAGAGCTTGATCTGCGAATCCTGGAATGCAGCGAGCTGTCACTCCGGCACAAAGGGATGGCCTTGCGCATTAAAGGCACTCGCTGAAAACGTCCAACCCATAAACCCAGGAGTTACATCTCTTTGTTCATTTTAGCCAAGGGCACAGATCCACGTTGGCCAAGTCCTTCTAACGGTCAAAAGGGTCCCTACATGTTACTAAAGGGGCCCTGAATAGGGCCTAATAGGAGCAATTGGGGAACCCTTCTCCAGATTTTGGGCGCCGTTCGGGGAGTTTGGTTGAGGAAAGGGACAGTCTTGGCCTGGACAGTTCATCCATTCAACACTTTCTCTTGACCTTTCGCCACACACCATTCCGTTCCTGCCAGAAGATCTGCACCTGAATGGAATGGAGGCTAGACCCATCCTTTCATTCATCATCATGCCCCTCATCTAGAGAAAAATCCTACTAAGAAAAGCAAGTGAGGGACAATTGGATGAACAAATATCATTCGTGTATCTCTCTTGCTTGTCCCGTACCCACGACTAGCCGAGAGATACGAAAGGGCGATGGGAAGTGAACACAGTGCGCGAGCGGTGGGTCCTATCTCCCACAGGCGGTGCAAAGCTAAGGGTCCAAAAAGAGCCGCGTGTTTTGCTTTGAACGAACGTCAAAGGGAGTCCCAGCCAACAGAAACACATGTGGAACCTTTAGCCGGACCGCAGTAGGCATGAATTCGGGCCCTTTCAAAATACATGTTGACCTAGATGTTGACGCCAGATTAACCAACCTTGTGCACTAGTAGGTAAAGGGTCCCCCCCGATCAAAATCAATTCCGTGGGGTTGGCAATCAACTGGGTTCCCTGTTTCAGACTCGTTGTTGCATCATAAACAGATGGTACAATTCCATCTATCTTCCAGTGAGAGTAAATGATGGTATAAAGGGAAACTGCCGCCCAACAGTGCTTTTAGAACCTCAAATGTTCACTTTAACGGACCCAGCATTTCGGGACCTATAATTAACTACTAATAAATACACGCTATTCCCAATTCTACATACGCCACTCTAAGCCAGTACTAAACGTGCCGATTTTGCGCCAATCCCGCCACCAGTCGTATTAGGGGGTATTCCAGCACATTTGTTGCATTCTAAATTCATATGTACATTTTACTAGTTTATATTTATTTCACTTGTTGTAATTCCAATTTGAGATTTCGCCTTGCACTTCGGATCGCAAACACGAAAAAGAGAGAGAGAGAGAGAGAGAGCAAAAAAAACAAAAAAAACGGAAAACAAAGGAAAACAAAACAACAACCTTGCACGGTTTTGCCTAAATTCGTTGCACGGAAACTCTGAAATTGCGAGCTTGATGGTTTTCGGAAAAGGGGAAGCCCGTTTGGACGAGGACAGAGGAAGCCCGCTCGACCCCTAATTACCCTGTTAATACACAACGTTTGCCCCCGAGCCAATATTCATTAATAGGGGGGAGGGGTTATCGTGGGGGGGAAGCGATTAATCCACAAAAATAAGGGGTGCTTAACCCTGCGTTCTCGGGAACTTTTTTGGGAAGATCAACCATCTGGCTCAAAGGGACATGAAAGGGAACTCACCATTTTCTGGGTCGCCTGTTTTGACAAATGCCCACTTGGCCCTGTTCAATCAAATCGATTTCCCGTGCCTTGGAGCCTGTGGCCACCAAGCCTTTTAGCGGATGCCAGGCGCAGCACCTCAGGCTTGAGAGGACACTCGCCCCACCTGGAAAGGGCCCATGGCCTCATTTCTGGATATATATATATATGGTGGTTGTTCAAAATTCCTTTGTGTCGAAACGGCCATTCTTCGCGAATAAAAAAGTTACTTTCGCGAATCTTTCGCGGATTCATCGCCGTGCACTTTTCATTGCTCAAGTCGGGAAGTCGCAGCTTTTAAGTACCGGTTTAGTACGCGAAATAAAGTCGCAACTTTTCATCACAAGGGTAGTACATGAGATGCACTTCCGCGACTTCAGCTGGAAATTCGCAACTTTTCAGCACCAGTACACGAAATGCACTTCCGCAGTTCCAGCACGAAAGCCGCGCAGCCCCAGCTTGAAGTTGCAAGTTTTCAGTACCAAGCTAGTACTCTGACTAGCGCAGCGCTCAGAAAGTACCTCCCCTTGCAATCGAAGCCTGCACTTTCGCACGGGCTTTCACGGATCTTTCGCGGAACTTTCGCGAAACATCACTCACGTTTCTAAAGCCACCGACTAACCCGCGCACCTGGAGCACTAACCAGCGAAGCAGGGTATCAAACTGTAGCGTCACCAGGCTTTATCAGGGGACAAACAACACAATGTTTTAATCAGCTTAGAAGGAAGATTCAGCAGAAAAGATGAGTGTTTTCACGTATTACTGATTTGCAAGATGCAGCTACGCAAAACTTCCGCGAACAAAAAAAGTTACTTTCGCAACTCCATCGCGAATCTTTCGCGGAGCTACCTCAACCAACACCGATGGTCACCGAATACTAAACTCCTTACAAGGACCTTTAGAACGACTCCCATATATATAATATGTATATGGCACTCCCCCTTCTGGAATAGTTCAAACATTGACATGTTTGTTGTAACAAGGCATGCGAACTGCACTTTCCAGCCTCTAAAAAGCGATGCTTAAAACATGCACTCTTTATAGACCTAGATTTTAGCATCAGTATTTAATGCAATCCAGGATGTTGAAGATTGTCTCGCAACTCTTTTAGCACATATCAGTTCTAAGTGTGGGTTTGAAGATTTCCAGAAAACTGGTCTGATAATCTTCAAACTTCAACCCAGGATGATCAAAATCTGGAGATATTCAATCCTCAATACAGGTGGAAAACCTTGAAGGGTGTAGAGAAAACTGTCAAGCTTTCTGGGGGGCCAGGATTGAGGATGTTCCAAAACGATGTCTGTGCAATCTTGAATAGTTGGCCTTCGATCCATGGCAACATGATCTGAGTGAATGCTGAACACACCGTGTTTTGCAGCATTTTATGCCAAGAATAAGATCTGTGTTTGAAAACACTTTTCTGCTATTGGTTTGGCTCAGTTCTTACTTGGTTAAAACCACGTGAGTTAGATAAGGACAATAACGCTTATGAAATTTATGTTGATTCCATCTTTCATTGGCCATGACTATAGCTGTGTCCTCCAATTGACTTTTCAAACACGCACGAAACTGCAACCGGTCAAAGTAGAATTTTGCTTGCTCGAACCATTTTAACTCGCATATTCCCCCTATAGCCTGCATTTCAATAGTTCTTCTTGACAGTGGTTGAATCGTATTGGACCAGAAGCGCGCAACTGAGATAGATGCTTTGCAAGTTTGATTGAAATACACTTAGTTAGAATGAAAATGGAATTATGTACCAACAAACTAACATGTAAATGCAGCTGCGCGAGGACTTAAAGCACCTTTAAGTTTGATTTGAATGTCAGTTGCAATTAGGGTTGTTCCTTTCCCGCAAGTGGATGATTTGCCGAGTTTCCTCGTGAAACAGAGAGCATAAAACCAAATGCCTGTTACAGGCACGATGAAGCTGCCAAAGCGTGCTTCGCATACTACTCTTGTGCTGAGAGTTGTTCTTCTTGAGCTGGGGCTGTCAAAGTGCACTTCGCAGACTTCAACGTGACTTTAAGTGCACTTCGGTTCAACTAGGAGCTCCTTTTGAACGTTGAGCGTAACTTCTGCTTGGTTTGACTTTGCATAGCGTTGCGCGTCCTGTCAGCTCAGATCAGAGTGCCCCCAGTCTGGCCAAAAACTTGAGTTCTGGACAAAAGCCCTAGTATTTCAAAGGGGGGGAGCATATATGTATATTATTATATATATATATATATATGCTGAGTACCTAAGTGCATGGCCAAAAGCAACTTCGAACTTTTGATTGGCACTAACTGGTCTTCTCAACAAGGTTAGACTCAGGGAGTGAGCATAGGGGTCCTCCAGGCCCTCAAGTCCAACGATGGACAAAGGTCTTTACAGGTCCGTTAGGCCCGGTCCAAGCGGCCATGGAAATCCAATCCTGGCTGTCTGGACACTGCCTGCTTAGTGAGGAACACAAACTAGACACATCGGCTGACAATGCGGATCGTAAAATCATCCCCAGCGGTCTGGCTCTTCAGATTCTCGATCGCCCCGAGCGGAGGTGCTTTGGACAATTCTTCAAGGCGACAAGGGAAAGTGAAGGAGAAAAAGAAATGCGCAAGGCCACTGGGTTCTACATTTGTTGTTTCCTTTCGGATGCATGATTGCTTGGTGCAAGCCATCGGAGGCCGCTCACATGGCAAGATGCCCTGCCACTTTGCTTGGATGTTGAACCAAGGCAGGTAGGTATGACCATTGTTGAAACTGGTGTAACCGGGGTCGTCTCCTTGTAACCATGGATATGACCTGCCTGACGTTGGTACACCCAAGTGGGAGACTGGTATCTCTGGGGCCCCGAGCTTCACATCCCAGCCATGGCCTGTGAATGCGCGCTCCTGGACGTTTCTTTCGAAACCCTCCAGATCAATCCGGGACTTGCCATGCCTGACTGGAGTGCAATCCAAAGAGGTTCCTTTAGTTCAGTCTGTCACCAAGAATCTTTGCCTGAGTCTCTTGTGTGCTTGACTTTGTCTGGGGCTAGCCCATCACATGCCAATGTGCCACTGAACAACGGGGTACCAAAGCTGGCGATCGTTTCTTACAACTGCTGCCTAAACTACCTCCAGCGCTGCCAAGTCCCCAGCGATTGAGCTGCTGATTGAACAGTTTTGCTTGGGCAACCAGCATAAGGCACCTTTGCCATCTGAAAAACTTGTCTTGGCTTTGTTCATGCGATGCTTCAGATTTATCTGCAGGACAGGGGAAATACCAGAATAGATACTTTTTAAACAGGAAACCACTCCGAGTCTCCAAATCAATCTGAAACTAAGATTCCCTGTGTCAGAAGTTACACAACCCAAAGAAAACCAAAGAAACAAATCAAACAGGAGTACACCCCCAAGGAGAACGCATGGCTGGTTTCTGCATGCCCGTTTGCCGGGACTCCGCTACCGGTCCTCGTCTCCAGTCCTGAGGTCCCAAACCTACAGGGCAGCGTAGCGGAGGTGCAGTTGAGTTTGTTGAAATACAAGAGCATACACAATATTGCATATTTATACTTTCTGTTATACATATTCTGGGAATAACCAAACAACATAGTCATACACACATGGGTATTGCATTGGTATGGTGTTTCATATAGATTGCTTGTTCTGGCACACGGCCAGCTTCGTAAAACAACTGATCTCCCGCAAAACTTGCGGGAGAGTCCCTCAGAGTAAAAACATTTTCCACCCCAGAGTGAATATGGAAACAGCATCCACCTCAAATCAATATCAAAAACCACTTGTACCCCAGAATCAAATTGAAGACGCTCAACATCCTCACTTCACTGAATCGGCTGGCTGCCTTCCAGCCCTCCCGACCTTGGCATGGGAGTCATCCGCGCAGGAGCAGAACTTCTCCCCAGTAGGCGCGATCTGCAGGAGTCAAATGAAGTTTCAGTGGATCTGAATGTCGCTTCTAATTAGCCCAAACCATGGTCTGCCAAAGGAATTTTCTTAGGGAGTGAGAACATGAGTGGCTCCCCCTTGGTTTCCTTTCAACACCCCGGAAAGGCCATGTTGCGCTCACTTCGCCCCAACAGCAAGCACCATTCAAGAACGAGGCTCTCAATTTTGCGGTGATTAGGGTCCCAATCATCTCCGATCTGCCAAAACCACATATTTGGGGTTGTTGACGTATTTGGGTTTTGAAGTTTTCTGATTCCACAGGACCTCATTTTATGATGCAACATAAGATGACATACATCTGATCGTCCCAAAGTAAGGACCCCCAAATGGGGTGATTTCCTTCTACAGTAGCATTCCTGTAAAATCACATACCGGTCAGCCTTGGCGTGATCAGAGGAATCCCTGGGCCATCTGTGAGGGCAAAACGGATGTGCTCGGTAGACTGCGGGTGCACTAGAATGGCTTAGGCGAACACGTGCGAACGTTTGCCATCAAGAAAATGCCAGCCGAAGCTTGCGAACCCAGCCGGCGTTGGAGGATAGGCGAACCCCTCGCGAACCCCAGCAGGCTAGGCGAACCTGCGTGAACGCATTTCTACTGTTCCCATTAAGTACCGACCACATGGATTTGCCCTGAACCATCCCTGAACCTACACGACCCCATTCCAGGTTGGACGGGATCCGCTTCATCGCATGCCGAGGCCCTGGCTGCAATATCGCAAACCGAGTCCTTGTGCCCTTGAAACGTCTGAAAGTTGTAGATGTACTGGTCCTGCACAAGATTGTTCTCTAGAATGGCGGACCCTCCAAAACGGTGGATTTATGTTGGCTTGCCTTTGAAACAACCCAACAAGCATACCTCGACAAAAATAACGAAGCCTGTGGAGATTGCCCCAGGATTTCGTTTGGGGGGGGGGGGGGGCGTAGGCTCTTGACTCACCCGCCTTCTGCCCTCAGACACCTTGAGCTTCGCGGGGCATTCGAGTTGATGCCTTGCTTGCCCGCTTCATTTTGAAGCAAGGTTACCCACCAGCTTCATCCTCAACTCAACAATTGCCATTCACCCTCATGTGTTCTTGACCATGCATGGTTGTTACCCTTACCCTCCTGCAAATAGCTATGCTTGATGTTGGAGAAAGGCACTCAACAACATACTTTCGCCACATCTGGGTGACTCAACAGGTGATTGGGTAGGCTACCCGCGCTCGGAGAAAGAAGCCGTACACTTTCGCCCATTCATGATCAGATTGGTGCATATTCTAAAACACAAGCAGGCCCAAACAAAGACAAGATCGGGGGGACACCTTGACCGATTGAACAACTGTCTTTTGGTGGGATTCCTCAACCGCACGCCTCCCAAGACCAAAACCATGGGCGCATAATAACTACGCATGTCCATCAGCCATACCTCAGCTTAATCCAAAACATATCGAATCCTCGTGCCCATGGGCCACTGCCTCCCTCTCCTTGCTAGTTTGATGTACCAACCTCTCACTGCTGATGCCATCCCCGGCTCCTGTGCTTCAAGGAATCCCCTCGAAGTGTCTACAGTCCCTTCCAGTACTATTTCCCATCAAAAAACAATCTTCGATCCTTCCAAAAAAGGCTGCCCTGGTGAACCCTTTTTAGAAGGGACATATATTTGTATGAATGAGTTTTTTTTTTTTTTAATCGGGGGCCCTTTGCTGGACATCATTTAGGTGGGACCGGTTTGTGTTCACCAAGCACTGTTGAGGATGACTCCCTAATTGAATTCATACATATGTATATATATACACATAACAATAGCAATAATAACAATAATAATAAGCATTCTCATCATTATCGGACAACTAATAATACTTATAATATAGTAAAAGTAACAATATCAACAATAATAATGACAATAGTAATACTGGCAACAATACTGAATAGTATTAAACAAATATCAATCAACTTAATATCATTAATAAATAAAAGTAATAATAATAACAATGAACTTAATGACACCACTACTGAGTTGAGTGATAATAATAGTAATAATACTAATAAGCAAACATAACATATATATATATATATGAGTAGTACATATATATATATATATGTATTTGTATATGAGTAGTACATGTTACTGTGTGTAGCCCCTTTTGAACAGCATCCCACGTCTCCCGCCCAACTGTTCCGCTCCCAGAGCTTGATGAAGCCCAGCTGGTCCCCGCTGACCATCACCGACTCGGAGGGAACCGAGATCCGCGGATCGGCTTCGGGATCGTCGGATCGGCCACGGGGCGGTTTGGGAAACCAAAAGCCGAGAAGCCGAGAAGCCGAGAAGCCGTGGAGGTCCAACCTGAGAGGAAAACCAAACGATTCTGAAAGAAGTATTGGTGTACAAAAGTGGGGGAACCCCTAACGGTTGTTTCCTCTACGCGTGCAAGGCCCCGAAAAGGGTGCCCTGAAGAGTACACACATACATATCCTGCTTAAACATCACCCCAAAAGAAAACTTACTTTAACACGGCCCACAACAGGCAACATAGGGAATTCAGTTTAAGCAACTGCATTCCAACACTGGGGTGCTGAAACGTCAAATGGACAACCTGAGTCAATGGGTGAAGGGCTGACGGCATGTGAGCCAAAGCAAGGCTCGGTCAGAGGCCGGCTACAACCAACAGCTTGCTTGACCGCAAGGCGTTGATTCGCATTGCTGTTGTGCTTCCTCAGTGATCATGTACTGATTATCTCCTGTTTCGATTCATTCGCGCATTCCGATGTTGATCCAACTGACTATCTGGGTAGCACAAACTTCCACTTGTGTGCGACAACATCTTGTCACAACAAGCAAACAAGCCCAGGGTGGTATCCCCAGCATCCACCCCGGAACCCTCCCGGAACCCTAGTCAGGAGATGCGTTGAACCACTCTTGGGCCTATCTCAGCAAGGACTGTAGCAAAGACCCCAAAGCTTTCAGCTGTTGAACAGGTCATGTGCCTCAACCCTCCACAAATCCGCCGCATTGGGAATCCTTTTGTACCACTTTTCGGGTGGATGGGTAAGTGGGCGAGTCCGTGATTTTGAAAGAGGCCCCGCAATGCTTTGCTTGCCTATCCTGCACTTGACAGGTGCCTTGCTTCTGCTTAGCACGACCAAAACAAGCACATGTCCATGTCCAGTAACCCCTCTGTTTGACGAACCGGGTAGAATCTGCCAGAAAGTCCCTTTCAAACGACTCAGGGCATCCTGCAGCCGCATGGTCATTGTGCAATAAAAGGTTCCGGATGTACTTCTGCCACCTAGTACTTTGCGTACCCGTTCTTGCTCAAACCATTCTCTCTATCTCTCTGTTTGTCCTACGACTCTTTCTAAGGTTTGGGGGTCATGAGTTCTTCAGAGAAGGGCATGGGGACACCATGCCCGACGGATGCGCGTTGCCCTTTGGCAGGTGTGCAAATCACCTGTATTCAACTCACGTCTCACTGTACTGCTTCGTTGGTCTTAGACCCCTACAAGTCAAACTACTTGCTGGCGAGGATAGTCATTGTCCAACCGGCATGTCAGCCGTGCATGTCCTCAACCCGCATCGCTGGGTAAAACTGACCAATTAGACAGCAACATATTGGCTGAGGTGAAGCATTTGTCACAAGAGTCTCCTCCTGGCTCCGTGCAGGAACAAAGCAAGTTGCAGGCTTTTTGCTATAATTCGAACTCCCGCCGCAAGGGTTCGCAGAAGGGAAGCTTCATGGGCGAGGTCGCAAGCACCTCAACCCGAGAAATTAGCCCACCTCCCGAGCTTGACCCAACTGCCTCATCCGGGGTCCATTTCATCGCCTTGATGCCAGCCTGGGCCATCAGAGCTTTATTGTTACCCCGATCTGAATTCTGATGGGGGAGCCTTTGGACGTGCAGATTCATGCCAAGCCACTCTTCACGTGGTTCCTCATGAAAACTCATGCCCATGCGCGAAGGAAAGAATCCCCTCCCACCAAACATGAGTCTTCCGAAATGGCGGATGAGAACTCCCATGCACATCTCATATGTCGAACAATGCAACTCTCCGGATGTGCCTTTGCCAATAACAGCGTTCTCTTGCCTTTCCAACGGCATGGGCCTGGTGCCCGGCATTCCGATCTACCTGCTTGGGAAACGAATCCACCTGCCAGCTTGCCATGTCAAAATGAGCTAACAAGTCTGACTGAGGGTCCTGGAAGACAATTGCCCTCAAGGGGCCTCCGATTTGGTTCCATGCCACTAGATGCGAGGGTTTACCGGACCGGCTGGTCTGGACATGTCTGAGTACCACAACCAACCAGTGGGTTCCATCTTACAGAAGGAGACCTATTTTGAAACGTATATCTCGCAAGATGCATACTAATACATTGGCATCTCTTAAAAAATGAGGAACCTCCTTCTTGTTCGTTTTCTTTCCTTTATTTTTTTTGTGGGGGGGGGGGGGGGGCGGGGAAGTGTTTTGCTTTTGCGACAAGTTACACAGATTAGTGACTAGGCGTTCTTCAGTTTAAGAATACGGCCGCCGGAAATCGTCGCTTTCCCTTCATCAGCCTGGCCCAAAGTATCAGACCGGGGCCCCCCATTCTTCAGAGCACCCTTTCTTGTGTCGTGGTTTAAAGAGAACCAACATGTCACGGCCCCTGTCGCTGTTGTTTGAAGGGGCATGCCCATTTTTTTTGTGTGGGGGGGTTCACAAAATTTCGAAAGACACCATTCCAGGGCAACATCCAAGCAGCCCGCATCCACAAGCCTTCTTCCAAACCCATCGCTCCAAGCCAGCCTTTGAACTGGCAAGCAAAAGCTCTGGGACTGAATGACTCGAGTGACTCAAGCTGGGTGGCTCTTCCCTGTCAACTCCATGTTTATCCCCCAACATCACAGCAAGAAACAAATACATCCACTTCAGGCTCCAAACAAAGCTCCAGTACGGATTGCTCCGGCTCGTACGAATAAGAGTCTTGGCTCAAAATGGACGCTCTTTTGGTGTTCTGAAGCGAACCCAAATGACACCAACCATTTCGGGGCTGCACCCAGCTTGAGACAATCCCATACTCAAGGCCTGTATTTACCTGGGTCAATTTTCTGTTGCCCTGTTGGGGCTTCTTTCCATTTTGGGGTGGCCCGATTTTGAGACAAACCCATTCTGTCAGTGACTCATCCTGCAGCTCCTGGGTGTCCCAGCATTGTGCGCCTGCATCACGTTCTCCGAATGGAACTGCAAGCCTGTTGTGGCGAAACCGCAAGCTCTCAAAAGACATCGCGTTGGCAAAAGACGGGCCTGCTCTATGAAAACTGGGAGGACACAGGGAAAACGGCAGCATCTGACATACAATGCCCGCTGCCACAGGTGTGTTTAAAGGGTCCCCTAGTTGGGAAAGTAGCTCGCTGACTTTTTGTGCAGTCCCACTGTTTCGTTGTTTGTAGTTGATTGCAACATGGCTGACCATTTCGGGCCACCAACCAACCAGCAAACCGGAAGCTGCATATTGCTCTTCTGGCAATAGAAATTGCTGCCTTCCTATTGACGAGTTCTTCACTTGCCGGTGATGCCGACCCGTTCCGCGGTAGTAGTGTGGAAACTCCTGCATTCCAACATCCCACAGGACAACACGCCTTTTTGGCCAACTGGCTCTACGCCATACCAAGGGGGGTGGTCTCTACATGTTTTTAGTGGACCCCCAAAATGGCTTCGGTTTTCCGTTTGGTTTCCTTTTAAAGCCACAAAAACGAGGCACCCGACGAGCCACCCACAGGGCTTCCTGGGATGACTCCATGGGGCATCTACATAAGGTCTCTCATAGACATTCACTCAGTGGAACTTGTAAGAGACAGAAGCTCCAAACGCTGAGGCTGTTGGACAGGGCCGGGCGATGCGACCATCTGTTTCGACATGTTTGGAATTCTGGGGCGGAACTACAACAGCTCACAAACCGAAAAAAGGTAGCAACGTCCAAAGAAAAGGATTTTCATCATTGGTGAGGTTATTAATTCCGGTTGGCGAAGACTGCCCAGAAAAAGCTGATTATATTCGTCCAGGTTGAACTGACTGGGCTTCCGACCACTCCAAATGGTCATTTCCCCCGCCAGGGTGCCGGTCAGCACTCGTCGACCTGTCTGGGCAGGCCAACCGAAGGAGAGGTGAAGGCCGAAGGGAAAACCATCATAGAAACCAGCGAAAGCAAATTCTACAGGAAAATCGCAAAACCTTTCTTGGTAGTATGGTTAGAATCGACAGTATTCAACAGTAATCCCTTCCCTCTAATGCTAAACGCCCCCCCCCCCCCCCCAAATACTAAGCAGGTCCCACCGGAAAAACCGGTTTAGCATTCGGGGTCCCCGGTTCGTTTTTCGGAAAACCGTGTGTGGAGAGAGTAAAGAAAACGTACTCAGGGAGTTCCGGCTCGAAAGTCGCAACTTTGTAGTACAGCCGTAGTAAAGAAAACGTACTCAGGGAGTTCCGGCTCGAAAGTCGCAAGTTTGTAGTACAGCCGTAGTAAAGAAAACGTACTCTCGGAGCTCCGGCTCGAAAGTCGCAACTTTGTAGTACAGCCGCAGTAAAGGTGCAAAAAGGGCTCCCTAACAAGGCTGGATTTGGGCACGGGCGGGAAAATACCTACTTTAGAATTGGTTTAGTATTGGCTATTCTATAAGTAGTATTCCCGGATTTGGGAGTCTGAAAAATCGGTTTAATATTACAAGTAGGGGACTGTTTAGCATTAGGAAGAAGGGATTATTTGATAAGTACACAAATTGAACAGAAATTGGTTGGCTTCCTGTAGAACTTGCAGCAGCTGGTTTCTGAGAGACCGTGAAACCGGCTGCAACAAGAGTCGCCCGGAACAATCAAGCAGGGTTGAGCTGGCGGGACATGGTCTTTTCCCGCTCGCTAAGTCACCAAAAACTAATCCAATATCACATTATCATCCATCCCCTGTTCGTTCCTTTAGGAGAAATGTAGCAAAATGTGCTATAGAACTTAGTTCCCCTCTGATCAAGCCCATTTTGCCTGCTTTTCCGCAAGGCTTCTTTTCTCTGAGGGATTCTGAGGCTCAAGCCGTTCGGAAACCAGGTGACGACATGAACCGGTGACCTGAGCTCGGATTCGCGGCTCGAATCCCGGATGGCGAACCGCCTTTGGACCCGAGTTCCTGCGTCACGGCACACTCGTTTGGTCATCCCGCTTACCAACATATTTGACAGGGTCCCCCAAAATTATCCCTCATCACCAAGGGGAACCGTTTTAACTGGCCCAAACAGTGATAAACACACAATACGAAGAGTATTGCTTGATGTAGTGGCCTAATTGCTTCTATACACACCATATAAAATTCTCGTGGTGGTGGTGGTGGTGGCGGTGGTGGTGGTGGTGAAATAGTGGGTATGTAGTATGTAATCCTCACTTGCCCACAGGACCTGGAAATGAAGGTTAGCCTTTTGGGATCTCAACTAAAAATGGATTGAAAAGGGAAAACCAAAAGGTCAAAAGGTCGGCTTTGAACCACTGAGAATACTATTACTTTAAACGCTTGCAACTCAAGTCACCCAAGTGCCGCGAAGGCAAGTGTGCAATGATGGGCCACTCGCTGAAAGCATTCAAAAGACCTGTGTACTGTATAGGAGTTGTTGTTTAAACTGAGGTTTATCGAGGGAATCTACTTGACGCATGTGCCCGCATTGTTTAGTGGCTTACTGGAATTCAAGGTGTATATGGTTAAGCTTTCGTAAGCGACCGCCCAAACATTCTCAACAACTACTGCGGTCGAACTAAGCTCTGTGGTATCAACAAATTGTCTCAGCTTTTGCTAAAACAAAACAGCACATGTTGCTGATTGTGGTCCTATATCAATGAACCTTATCATGTCACATCAATTTAGATAAGGTCCTAGAAACATCAGACTAATTTCCCTCCCTTGAAGTGCTCACTTGGCTTGGGCGCAGGGCCGGTTCTTGTTCACCGCGGCGTGCACGAAACGTGGGCAAATGCCGTCATAAGGGTTGTGGGGCCTGCACTCACGAGCCGACAGGTGAGGTCTCTAAAAAAACCCTAATGTTCCACTACGTGATGAATCCCCACTGAAAAGGGACACACCCCTATGACAAACCAGGGTTATTTATCCGGGGTCACACAACAAAACACAAGGGATGGCAAAGGCTGCAAGGTTTGGGTTGGGACCATCCGCCACATCTGCACGTGGGCCGGGGTTTCTAGTCGGCCGAGGGAAGCTGTCAGCTTGCGTAGAGAACTTGGTGAAATTGTGGGGGATGGTGGGCATAATAACAAACAGCGTCAACATGGTCAAGACACGTTGCTGCGTTGGTTTGTGACGCCAAGCAGGTGATCGGAATAGTCATCCAAGAAGTTCTAGAGGTTGAAGGACAAACCAATAAATCCTACGAGGCGACCAGGAATGAGGGGGGAGCTGGGTCTACGCCGAAGACCTCTCACAGACATGAAACCGTACGAAACAACGACTCCTCTTCTCCAAAGCGGCCTCCATGCTCCCATTGCCGCACAAATCCTAGCCCCTGCACTGCACGGCATAGGCCACTTCCAGGTCTGCCAGCTGGAAGATGTCACTGGTTCGGACGGCAGTGAGGGCCTGGAAGGGCTGGAGATCTGCTCATCTTTCTGCCCTGAAGCTCGTTGATAGCCAGGCCAATGCTGACCTCCCCGACGATCGTGGCGTTGTAGCTCTCCAAGAGCCAACAAGCAAGCACGTGTTGACCCTTTGTTGAACCCCCATTTCCCTTGAGAAGCCTAGTCTTCCCTTCTCACCAAGAACGAAACCAGACTGTCGTAGGGGGCCCTCCAGCCCCTGACCAGCAAGCTTCCTTGGGGTCCCTGAACCTCTTGCATGAAACTCTGCTGGGATTTCAAAGGTCAACCCAAGGATCAGCTCGGGCTCTTTGTCCAAATAGGGCACTCCAGTTTGGATGATGTCAAGGCAAAATAAGGAAGACCCAATTATCAAGTTGGATAACTCATACGGAAGCGGAGGTACAAATTAGTGCGTCTCAAAAGACATCAAAAAACAGGAACCATAAAATGAGTGGCTTGTTTTTGGATTCACTTTCAAGCAACCCAACAAGGGCATTCTCGAAAAGTGGCGCACCCCAATTCTCCCCTCAGCTTCTTGACTGAAGCTTAACACTTGCTAATCCCAAATAACCGGGCATCAAGGTCTTCGTTGGGCCGAACAGGATAAACTCGATCCCATTTCCCTTCTGAACACCAGTTCGGAGCCCGCAACATGGAGACGGGATCATTTCCTGTTGATCCAATGCCAAAAACGGATGCCCCGAAAACCAATCGAAACACGCCTTCCACTTCCCGGCCCAAGGCTCATTCTCTCCATAGCCCGGCCCAAACACAAGAGTCGCATAGTGATAAAGGTCAGAATACCCCGCCTCACCGGTCCTCAGATTACTTGCTGGTTCTCAGTAAGCAATCAACAGGTTTGCGAATAAGCCGGAACAGTTGTGCAGTTTAGTTTGGGGTCATTCCCTGAGAAGCCAAGCCATGGGTTGCCTACGGGGCACAGGGCAACTAAGGTGAACAGAGAAAGCCCCGACCTCAAGTACAACGGCGGGGAACAGAGTATCCCAGTATCCCGGACTCATAAACCTGCCAAATGAAAATTCCATCTAAAAGTAAGGGATGCCCTTGAACATGGGAACTCTCGCTTTTAAAGAATTATATAAGTGCTGCTTTCTTGACTCAGGGGTGATATGGGGTGATGCTCAAGATTGTCTTGATCTCTTGATGTAGTCCTCTCCTTTGTGGGGGACATTGAGCGCCATACAAATATAATTTCGGAGGATGGATTGCGCCTCTTTCCTTGAGGGTTGACTCAACATCCCTCCATGTGTGTCAGACCGAGGGATATCTCTTTTAGCCCGGAGGCGCTCAAAGTGGCGCACATGGCAAAGGGCGGCACGAGCTCCTTGGTGTAGCTGTAGTGCCCTGGGCGGCTTCAGCGAGCGAAACGCGCGGCTTCGCGCTGGCAATTGGACACTTATTTAGCTGGTTCTCAGTAGGGAATGAGGGGATGCCCATACGAACCATCCCTTGTGGCCCCAGGAGATTCCTGGGTTCATTCTCAAAACCCGTGTGATTCCGAACTGACAGCCAGCAAGTTTTGGCAAGATCCCGAATTGTCTTCCTTTCGCTCACGGCGCCATTTTAAGAATAGCTGATCACTTTTCAGCCTCTCTTCAAAAAGGTGAAATATGCTTGCTTGGAAGACCATTTCACAGGGGTAGACTCAGACTGTTAGTCTCTGAGAAAACTAGCGGACCCGCGCAGGAACGAGTTCATGCTGGAAGGTCTGCGAGTGTCTGGTGGAAGAAACTGTTGCAACTGCAACACGTATGACTAAGACTGGTCCCACTTAAACTTGCTGGGCTGACCAGATCCAACAGTGTCCGAATACAGCTTACAGGTAAGATTCTTGTTTCCAGCAGACCCGAATGATATCCCCGCAGGATTTGACATTTGCAAGCCTTGCTTGGCATTGATTTGGCTCTTGTTCAGCACGTTTGCTCAGCAGCAAATCCGAGCTTCTGATGAAAAGCTTGCACTGAACCACACGCATGCCCACTTTCTTTGAGTCACGTGATCGACGCTTCCTGGCTGTCGTCTTCCCATTCCACGTCCGAACAGAACATTCTTAGGCGCATCCCATCAAACGAAAGACTCAACGTCTTGTTTGTTCAATCTGGTGATATATATATATATATATAAAATGGGCCCATACCCCTTACACACCCCAACCTTGAGCAAGAGATGGTGGGGAGTGTACCCCCCAACTTCATTTAGCTTGTTTGCTCGGCAGAAAAGGCCCGAGGAGTCATGCCCACCCCTCGTTTTCCGTCATTTCTACCACTTCCAAACGCATGGTTTGCCGGATTCTGACCTGAAGCATGTCAAAGAGATCTCAAGCGAGGCCCAAGATGAAGCCGATGTTGAAAATAAATTCGGAACAGTTGAGCAACTGCAGATCCTCTTTTGACTTTTTCCTTGGGCGCCTGAACAAAATTCTGGCTATTTATCACCCCCCCCCCCCCCCCCAATTGTTCGCAGCTTTTCGTCGCACAGCCATCGGCTGTCGGTTCATGGCTGAGGCTTCGGCTTTGGAAGCGCCGGCGTTTTGGTCTGGAAGACAAGTCCTGGCAAGATATCGGGGCTAAAAACACCTTCTCGAAGGCACTTCCCGTTGGACCTATATAAGCACTTCTCCGAATCGTGCTTCCAGTTGTGGTCACTGTTAGTGGGGGGGGGGGCCTGACTTAAGGGTCTCTGTCTTTGAGGATGTACTTACCTGGAACCACGAGCCCCTTTTAACAGCAAAAGTTGTCTTCCATCCTCCGGTCAGGCACTCCATATCTTAAGGGTGGCATTTTGGAGTGGCTTTTCTTGAGGGCTTGCGAGGGGTTGCTTAGGGCAACCAAAAGGAAGCCACCCTTTTCAAAGCGAGTCTCCCCAAAACAACGAGAAACAGACGCATTGCCACCAAATAGCAACACAACCACGACGCTTGTTCAACCATTCACGCGTTCGATCCCGCAATCGATCACCTTTTGCCAGCTCAAGTCAAAACTCTGCACCTGGGCCAATTTGGTGCGTGGGTAACTTTCGGAAATACACGGAAATAGTATTCGTACCAGACTGTGGTTATTGCGTGCAGAGAGCCAGCGAATTGTTTGAACTTCCAGTCTAGAAGGTTGTTTAGTAGCGATGCTTGGACTCATGGCAGCTGCTGATTAAATGGGAGAAGGCCAGCGCTGAAGGGCCTCCATATGTTTTGTTTCTAGGCGCCTAATGGTAGTGTTCCTGCTCTTAAGAACTTGACTTCAGGCAGCCTTTCCGCACAAACTATGTGCTGCACACCTCATCCCCAGAGGCAAGGATCTCCTTACGTATAGGTCCACGAGCTCGGTGAGTGAGTCAAGTGGTTGATTCCTCTGAAAGGGGCCCACAACACCAAGGGCAGCTCTGGTGTTGATACATGTATTTTGCTCAGCACCTTGAAGCAGTCTAATAACCTTCGTCTAGCTCACGTGGCACAATGGGAAATAATGTCAAAATAGGGAATCCCCAGAATGGGCGGTTTCCCATTGGTTTTCGTTTCAAGCAACAAGAAGGGTACCAACTCAACTAAAACGCACCCGTTCCAATCACAAAACCGAAAACCGGTAAGTTCCAGGCACCTTCACCCTACCGAAATCATGTTGATCTTGATGTTCACAGGCCCCCCCCTCCAAAAACCGCCCCCCTCCAATATTTTACCACTATCAAAATCACCCCGCTCAGTGATAGGTTAAAGGGAAACAACCCCGGTTTTTGACTTTCATTGCCCACAGTCTACATCACCCCAGAAAAGGTACGGATTTGCACCCGCAGGTACCTTCTCAAACACCCGAAGGCCTCCATCCAGCGCACAAGGTCGGAGCCATAGTCCACCGTGCGCTTAGTGAAGCGCTTCAGAGGGTCATCCAGGCCCTTGCCCTGGAGTATCTAAGCAGTATCCGCCTATGGTTCTTCTTAGAGTGGATTTCGGCCCCTTTGGGATAAAGGGAAACCAACGATTTCAGGGGACCCCCAAAATGGGGGGCCTAAATAATTAGGTGTCATTCAACCAAATGTTCACATGGCCGGGGAATTTTTGATTGGTATTCTTTAGCCCCCTATGTTCTGTGTTGAAGCGATTTAGCCCCCCTAAATGGCGCTTGCCTTGTGTCCCTGGAAAAACCAACCTCAAAAGGGTACCTTTAAAGCACTCCACCCTGGTGGAAACCAATGAGGAAAACAACATGCCCGCGGGAAACGAAACAACCACCGAATCCACCGCTGAAGCAAGGGAAATCACACAGTTGAAACACGGGAAACCATGGTTGAAACAAGGAAAATCACTGTTGCAACCGGGTTGGCTTGAAGGGAAACCAGAAGGGCAACCCATGCATCTTGGGTCCGGGTGCCCCGTTGCCCCCAATAGAAAACGGAGCTGGCGTTTCCGGCATTGCAGGAGTTGGAGTCCCTGGTGACTTGCCTTCGCAACGGAGCTGGTTGGTTTTTCTGCACTTTGCAAGAATTTGTTTTGCTTTCTTAGATGGTACCCTTTTTGGGTTGATTCACAGGACCCCTAATTTTAGGGCCCCTTTCAACACATACCCTTTTCGGAAATCCGCAGATGGGAGTTTCCTAAAGTAGCTTGCCGTACAAACATGCAAACATGGGGTCCGATATTGACACAACATCCAGCACATGTAGGGTGAAAGACGTGGATTCTCGATTGCCTCGGGCAAATATAACCCGGACCTCGGTTCAGAATCCAAATGCCAACGACAACTGCTTCTCGACATCGACATTGCTGTGAAACATCTCATTTCGCTAGCATCTTGCGTCTGTCCTCTGTTCTGAAATAACGTAGTGCTGCAAGAAACTGTAAAACAAAAAACGAGGTCCATCACGTTGCCGCAACAATGGTAGAACGTACGGCGATGTTCCAAAACAGGGAACCTCTTTTCGGGTTGTCTTTTCAAGGTGACACTACAACAATAATCCTGGTCTTCTGGGGAGTCTGCCATTTGAAGACTAAGCCGGTTGGAAGCTTCGTGTAGCTCTGGCATGAGGCCCTCACAAGACAAGTTTGCGACAAGCTTCCAGGAGCTGATGGAGCTTCTGCCCAGGGTCAGGAGAGACACTTTCGCTACCCCTTCAGAAAGGACCAAAGCAACCCTTTCTAGCACAGGGGGGGGCTTTGCCCTGGGGAAAGTAAATAAGGAGAGCTTCGTTTAGAATTGCGAGCCCCTTTTCGGGCTCCCTTTCAGCACCGACCCAACACGTATTGTTAATTCTCTACTTCCAAAGTTGTCTAACTCCATGACCTATTGGAGTCAACAGTTGTTTCAAAAAAAAAAAACATGAGTGGCAATATCAATGCGCACACGCAGGGATGCAACACTTCAGCCAGCCTTGCCCTTGCTGTACAGCACAATTTCATGGCTCATGGCGAGACCTAAGTGCCAACAAACATGCCAAGCGAGCAGCGCCCGTTTCACATGGTTATGAATGTGTTTTAAGGCCTTACTACCAGAAGAGCCGGTGAAGCCGGCTGGCGAAAGTTTCAAAACCATTAAGAACTATAGTTGTTTCTCTTTAACTTTTTCTCTCTTTCTCTTTCTCGTTTTCGTTCTCTGCTCTCTTTGTTTGCCTCTTTCTCTTTCTCGCTCTCTTATGAGCTTTTCTGTCTCTGTCTCTTTCTCTTCTTTATGAGTCTCTTTCTCTTTCTCTTTCCTTTCTCTTGCTTTCTCTTTCTCTTCTTTCCTTGTCTGTTTCCCTTTCTCGTCTCTTTCTTCCTTTTCTCAATTTTTCGCTTTCTCCTGTCTTCCCTTGCCGGGACATTTCCCATCTATCTATCTACTTACATTTGTATCTGTCTAGCGGTCTATCTATCTAGCAGCCTATGTGGCTAGCTACCGATCTAGCTCTCTATCTTGCTATTGTCTGAATCTATCTACGAATCTAACCTTTCCATCTATCTATCTATCTATCCGCCCATTGTCCCTCCATCTCTCCACCCCTCTATTTCTTGATCTCTCTATCTCTACATCTCTCTATCCCTCTATCCCTCTATCCCTCTATCCCTCGATCGCTGTCTCCCTGTCTCTCTTTATCTGTCTATGTAGCTATCCATCTATGTGCTTATCTGTCTTTGTAGCTAGCCAGCTATTAATTTTCCTCGTTCTATCTATCTATCTATCTAATTATCTATCTATCTATCTAATCCTCCATATCTATCCACCCACCTATCTAGCAATCAATCTATCCGTCCATCTATGTATCTGCCTATCTAGCTGTCTACTTCTTCGCCTATTCATCAAGCTAGCAATCTATCCATCCAACCCATCCATCAAGCGAGTTACCATTTACAAACCTTCCTGCCTCTGCTATCTACCTAGCTATTTTATTTATCTTTGCATTTATCTACTTGACAATCGTTCAACCTATCTATCTCAATCAATCTACCTGCCTAACAGTCAAAATATCCATCTATCTGTCTATGTTTTTGCCTACCTGCCAGTCTCTACGTACCTATTTGTCTTCTATCAATCAATCAGACTATCTGTCTATCTACCAATTTATCTAGCAATCAATCTACCCTTCTGTCTATTCATGTAGCTGTCGATCTGTCTGTCTGTCTGTCTGTCTGTCTGTCTGTCTGTCTGTCTGTCTGTCTGTCTGTCTGTCTGTCTGTCTGTCTGTCTGTCTGTCTGTCTGTCTGTCTGTCTGTCTGTCTGTCTGTCTGTCTGTCTACGTATCTAGCTATCTATTGATTTATCTATCCATCTAGCTAGCAACCTATCCACGCATCCATCCATCTATCTAGATTGGCTTCTATCCATCCACCTACCCACCCCTGATCAATCTACCCATCTACCTATCTCAATATCAGTCTTGCTGCTCATCTATCTATCTAGCTATCCATACATCAATCCATCTACCTAAGGGACCTAGATATTGTTTGTATTTATCTATCTCTCTGCGTCTATCTATCTATCTATTTATCTATCTATCTATCTATCTATTTATCTACCAGTATCTATCTATCTATCTATCCATCTGGACAATTTCCAGTGTTTCCATCCTCGCCACCTTGTTTGTGGTTGTATTAAACGGACATAGCACCTCGCCTTGTTGCATCGATATCTGTTTGTAAGGATGCCTCGAACCCTCGTGCTGCACAGCTCGAGCGATTCCCGAACGGGCAGTTGATTTGTCATGGCTGCTCATTTTGAGCGGCACATATGTTCTTGCTCAGGAAGGGGGACAACACCCCACTGGATCTTAGCCCGAACTTGTTGTTCAAGGCAATGGGCGGTTTTCTCTAAAATGTGCCGGACAATTGACGCAATGAAAATGAACATGGGTGTTTTCTGAGAAAACGTGGACCTTTTTGTTGAATTGTGCTGCACAAGCTGTTTTGGGAGGGGATCCCAAAACTTAGGAAAAACCTGTATTAGTTTGTCCCAACAGTCGAAAAGTCCCTTTTCCTTGGGTTTTACAGGAAACTTATATCAAAGCCAAACATGCCCTTGGCCAAGATGCTCGGTCGCTCCAGAAAACACCGGAGTGGCTCCCTTGTTGACCAATGCAGTTCATTGTTTTTCCGGACGCACGGAATCCCAAAGAGTGCTATTGTCCCTAACAATAGAATACAAAGACGGACCAGCTGCACACAATATGATCCGTGAATCACAAGGGGTCGCAAAAGGAAACTTCATGGGTAAATTTGGTTTCTCAACCCCTGAAACATGTGACAAACAGTTTGTGATCCTGAAAGATCAAGGTTCCTCCAAAATCCTTTGGTATATATCAGGAAAGCCCTTTTCAAGTGATGACTGAGGATACCACAGGCTGGTGCTTGGCAAGCTCAACGAGCTCATTTTCTTGGTGCTTGGTAAATGACCATCCTTTCGTTTGCTCATCCCCGAAAGAAAGACAGAGATCTTCAAATGAGAAAGCCACGCACATAAGAGTATATCTGGTTTTGCAACCAGCATGGCACAAGTGGCCTCAGACATCATGGATAACAGACTTTGCCGTCTGGCATGTTGTCTCGACATAGCTGCATGTCACGCTAAGGTGCTTGAAGCCTCACACACTTAACTTGCAACTTGCATTTCGTAGTGGCAAGCTGGCAGCCCAGCTGAGAGCGCTGCGCTGACAAAGCCTTCAATACAAATCAGCCCATCTAATCCTGCGCATCTCACTCTCGCTCACTCTCAATGCGCAAGTTGCTTACTGCTTGGTTCCGTCGGATCCGCCCGCGCGTCTAGTGCCAGCAATATCTAGTCATATACTTCCTGTGGTGCTGCATGCCATGATAGCTGCCATGAGTTCTTGCACCTGCAATTTCTCGCTCACTTGTAGAGCCCATGTACGCAGCCCAAGCCTGGATGTTTTGATCAGCGGCAGCTGAAGCTCATGCTCGAGGAAAGGACAGGCGTGCACGGATGCGCAGATTGGAGTACAAGGGAGCGATCAACATCACGGCCTTAATGGGTAAACAAAGCTGGGGCTCGGGAAAACAATCAATTACCCTCTTTCCAACATTTTAGCGGAGCTTCCACTGGGTGAACTTGTGCGAACAAAGGGGACCATCCACCAACACGTCTGTCCGTTTGCATGCTTGCCCTGTTAGAGTATCTAGCAGAATACCCCTTTCCATGGGACATATGCGACCAGAGACATGAGAAAAGAATGAGACCTCTGGGTTTTGTGGAGCAAACATTCTGAGTCCCCCCATGTTCCTCCCAAAACACTTCGAGAAACAGATTGATTTGTCTGCGGAAGCGAAATGGAACCTAATCGCTTTGACCGGCTCTGCCTTTCATGCAGCATGGCTTTGACGTCTTTTAGGGCAAACAGGTGCTTTTCCTTTGGTTTCTACGCAGTTTCCCTTCAAAACATCAGCTGCCAGACCCGGCGTTTGCCTTTTTGTGCTTCTGAGTTTCACAAAATAACTTTTGGAGGGAGCACCCCCCCCAATTCATAGAACGGGTTTCTTAGTCCGTGGGTCAATAGATTCTAAGAGCAAACCTGCGATACCCGAACAATCTGCGAAGAATGCTGTTCAGGTGTTACATACCCTGAGGCAACACCATGATTTACGGATGCAAGTACACACACAAACGCACCTAACCAAAGCCGAGCCATGACACCCCAACGCTTGGGAAGCACTTCTCTTGTGCTGATGCTGCAAGGAAACCTGGAGGGTTTCCCCCCAGCTCTTTCAACTCATTCTCAAGCTTGGGCATGCCTTCGCTATGACACACACCAAGTTGAAAATTATGGCCGCAAATATTAGCCGAAAGAGTCGCCCCCCATACCTCGTCTTCCTGCTGCCAGTGTAAGTAGGACAGCCCCTTGAACATAGGGTGCCTGACTGGGGACAGGTCTTTTGCTAAGGGC